CCCCCCCCCGCCCCCCCGGTGCCCAGGCTCCACCCTCGTTCCAGCGCTCCTCCTCGGCTCCCCTCGGGCCCGGGCATGACAACTCCTTCCCCCTCCCGGTGCACGTGTCCAACCCGTATGCCGGTGGCCACCCGCTGGCGCCATCTCCCCGGGCCGGGACCTCCGGGGCCGGGAGCCCTCATGACACCTTCTCGGCGGCCTCCGGTGCTGGGGCCCCCCCTCGTGCCCGGAATATGCCCACTTCGCGTCGGTTCTCCGAGGGCCATCTTCCCCTGTCGCGCGGGTCCCCCGCTCCCCAGATCACCGAGACTTCCTTCGTCAGTGTGTCCCGGCGGTCGTCGGTGCCCCTGCTCGCGGCCAATGGCGAGACCGCCTCGCGTGCTCACTCGCCCAGCCCCTCGCGCAACCCGCTCACCCCGCCCCCCTCCAGCGGCAGTGCCAGCAGCCGAGGCAGCGGCTCGCCCCAGAACCTCCCCCACCCGATGGCCGCTTCGCCAATCATGTTCTCCCCGGAGGACCGCCAGCGCCTGGAGCTTGGCATCACCCCGCCAGTGCTCATTGCTCAGCTGGAGCAAATCAACCAGTACACCATCCTGCATGAGATCGGCAAGGGCACCTACGGCAGTGTGTTCAAGGTCCGCAACAACGAGGACGGCCAGTACTACGCGCTGAAGGCCATCTCCACCCGGCGCCTGCGCCGGAGTCGCCGGAGCCACAAGCAGGCGGCCCAGCAGCAGCAGCAGCAGCAGCAGCAGCAACAGCAGCAGGCGGCTGCCCAACAGGCTGCCCAAGCCCAGGCCCAGCAGTATCAGCAGTCCGCGCGGCCAGGCAGCCGCCCGTCCGGCCGCACTGGTGGCCATCACCAGGAGGAGGCTGGTGCGGCTGACGCGCCGCCGCCCCAGGCTGGTGCCGGGGCCCAGGCCAGCAGTCAGCCCCCTGCCCTGCCGCCGGCCGAGTACATCGACGACATGGACCAAATCCGCAAGGAGATCGCCATTCTCAAGAAGATTTCCAACCACCCAAGCATGGTCCGACTGATTGAGGTCATGTACCACGAGGAGGAGAACATGGTGTACATGGTGTTCGACCTGTGCGAAAAGGGCCCGGTCATGAAGATCCGCCTTGGCAAGACCACCGAGCACCTGGAGGAGGACCTGGCTCGAAGCCTCTTCCGTCAGCTGGTCCTCGGGCTGGAGTATCTCCACCATCAGAAGATCATCCACCGGGACATCAAGCCCGACAACACCCTGCTGACGGCCGACAATCGCCTGCAATTGGCGGACTTCGGTGTGTCGCACATCTTCGAGGGTGACGATGACTTCCTGCGTTCTTCCACCGGCAGCCCGGCCTTCTACCCGCCGGAGGTGTGCAGCGGCAATTCGCAGCGTTACCACGGCAAGGCGGTGGATGTCTGGTCGGCTGGCGTGACGCTCTTTTGCTTTGTCTTCGGCCGCTGCCCCTTCGAGTCCAACAACATTGTCAATCTCTTCGACAAGATCACCAACGACCCGATCCACTTCGACCGCACCATCAATCCCAACCTGGCGGACCTGCTCAATCGCATGCTGGCCAAGAACCCGAAGAAGCGCATCACCCTGCCGGAGATCCGCAACCATGATTGGGTCACCGCCGAGGGGCATGACCCTCTTCCCTCGGTCGAGGAGAACTGTGGTCTGCTGGAGCTCGATGTCTCGCCGACCGAGATTGACGACGCCGTGCGCCCGGTGCTGAAGTTCCGCGAGAAGGTGCGCCCTCCTCTCTTTCGCTTTTCCCTTCTCTGTTGTCCCCTCGCTGCCCTGATCTAACACCGTGTCGTTCTTGTCTCCCTCTCTCTCTCTCTCTCTCTCCCTTTCTCGACTTCCTCTTCCGCTTCCCTCTTCGATGGGCGTGTTTTTCCTTTTTCTGTTCATTCAGTTGATGAACATCTTCCGGCCCTTCTCCTTCACCTCGTCGCTCATGTCTTCCAGCTCGAGCAGCAGTTCCTCCACCTCGGCATCGCGTGCCAGCTCGCCCAGTCCGCATGTGGCCCCCCCGGCGGCGGTGTCGGCCTCGTGCTCGGCCCTTCCTGCGGGGACGCAGCAGCATGCCCAGCAGCATTCCTATCACCAGTACTCGGGGTACAGCCATCTGCAGGCCCAGCAGCATGCCCAGCAGCAATACCACATGCAGCAGATGCAGCAGATGCAGCAAATGCAGCAGATGCAGCAGTACCAGGCCCAGCAGCAGGCCCAGCAGCAGGCTCAGCAGCTGCACGCCCAGCAGCAGCAGCAGCAGCAACTGTCCACCGGTGGTTACACGGCGGTTGTCTCGCCGACTACCTCCTTCTACATGCCGTCGGCCATTTCCCCCAGTGCTGCCAGCCCAGTTGTCGGTCCTGCGTCACCCACCTCCTCGACTGCTCACCTCTACAGTCACCACCACCATCACCAGCAGCAGCAGCAGCAGCAGCAGTTCCACATGCAGCAGGCGCAGCATCAGCATGCCCAATACTTCCCGGTCCGATCCGCCTCGACCGGATATCTGCCGAGCCATTCGTCTGCCGGATCCTCCGCTCCGGCGACTGCCGTGGCCTCTGCCTCGCACTCGAACCTCTCGTATGCGGCGGCCGGGTCTTCCTCGCAGGCTCAGCAGCAGTACTACCAGCAGCAGTACCAGCAGCAGCAGCAGCAGCAGCTTCTCCAGCATCAACACTACCAGCAGCAGCAGCAGCAGCAGCAGCAGCAAGCCCCGGCCTCTGTGGTGTATTCCGCTGACCGCTCCGGCGCTGGCATCTCCCTGATGATCCCCGGCACGACAGCGGTCACCGCGATGCCTGCTGCCGCTTCGTCGGGTGGTGGCTCTCCCGGGTCTTCCAGTGGCTCGCCCGACTCCTCCTCCTCCTCCTCCTCCTCCTCCAACAATAGCAGCAACAGCAGCGGGTCGGCTGTTGCTGCTGCCCCCAAGGAAAGCCGCCGCTTGTCCCTCTCGGCCAGCACTCTGAGTCTCTTCACCCGGCGCAAGCACTCGCCTGTGGGTGGGGCGGCTGGCGCGTCGCCGACTCCCTCACCGACTCAGTCGCGCGCCCACTCGCAGCAGCATCTCCCCCCCCTGCCGCCGGCTGCCACCGGGCAGCAGCAGCAGCAGCAGCAGCAGCAGCAGCCCCGGCGGGCGTCGCCCCCCCTGTCGGCCATCGACACCAACCTGACGCCCTCCTCCTCGACGATTTTTGTCAGTCCGGTGTCCACGACGTCGGCCATGTCCCCCTCCAACTCCCTGGTCTTCTACCCGGCCATGGAGGGGCCGGCTGTTCTTGGTGGCGCTGAGAGCAGCTCTGCGGCCGCGGCCGCGGCCGCTGCCGGGCACTCGGTCTTCGTCACGGATGACGGCGAGGGCGAGCCCAGCGAGGTGGTTTACCAGTCCCTCTCGGGCCTGGAGCTGACCGGTCTGTCGGGCAGCGATGCCATGATGGTGGCCGCCGCGGTGGCCGCCGTCGGGGGCAGCAGCCCTGGCCCCAAGTTCGACCACCATTCCTGCTATGCGGACCTGAGCATGCTCGGCCTGGGCCCTGGTGGCTCAGGCGCCGCCGCTGCTGCCTCGACGTCCAGCCGGCGTTTGGTGTCGCCCACGACTGTTGATGCTACCCCGTGCCCGCAATCTGCGGCAGCCTCTCCCTCGGCGGCGGTGACCGGCGTCCACTCATCTCCCCTGCTCCGGGGCATGTGAGCATGTGTTGTCTGTTCCGCTTCCCCTCCCCCGCTTCCCTGCTCCCCCTCCTCTCCCTTCTCCAAGAGAGAGGGATGCAGACGAAACATCCGTCAGGCGCACTGGTGGCTTGTGCGCGCATACCGCAGCACATAGCACCATGTCATCTCCTGCTCCCCTCCCTCCTCCCCCCCCCCCTCCCGATCGACTGGCGACTGGTGACTGGTGACTGTATATTACCCCCTTCCTCTCCACTCCCTTCCTCTCCGCGACCCGGCATATCTCCCTCTGTATATTATTCCCTCTCTCTCTCTCTCTTCTGTGCCAATGCGCTGGCGTACGGCTCGAATCAGTTATTTCAGCCAACCGCTCGTGCACCCCCACCCTCCTCCTCCTCCTCCGCGACCTCCCTGTTTTTTTCTGAGAAAATACCCGGCCCCCGCTGCGCATGCTGCCGAGGGGGGACATCGGCAAGAGGGAGCACAGGCGCGCGCCGCCAATATCCAGTGCATGCCTGTGCACCTGCCACTCTCCCTCCCTTTCCCTCCCTCTCGCCCCTCGCAGCTCGCCGCCGCACAACACCGGCCCCCAATGTAGACACGTGCGAATTCCATCTACTGTTGTCCCCTCCTGTTGAGAACACGTTCTTGCTGCGCAGGAGACCCCTCCGCCTTCCCGCTATTTTCCGCATATTTTCTAGCCCTCCGTAGTGAGGGGGGGGGGGGGGGGAAAGTGCGGTGCTGCCCCATTTTTTGATGGCCCCTCAAACACGAGGGTCAGATTTTTATGGGGTGGTGGAGGGGGAGAAGCAACACCGGATGGAGAGGGGAAAGCAGCGCGATTCAGTGGATACAGAAAATATATTGTACAGTAAGGGTCGCAGGAGGGGGGAGGGGGGGGGGGGATAAAAATACATGTAGCTGGGAAAAAAGGGGCGAGGGAGCGGGGGGAGAGCACGCGAGCGGGCTCTCATTCCCAGGCAAATATTCTGCCCAGGCCTTGGGCCGCCCTTGCTTTCTATCTCCCCCTCTGTGGGAGTATCATCTCGCACAGAGGAGGGCGCGTGGCCAATCTCGGCGGTTGCAGGAGCCTGGGGCAAAATAAATGCGCACATGTGCGCGCGCTCGCCCTCGCTCATGTATGTATACGCGCGCGCGCGCACACACACACACGCACGCACGCACGTGCATCTGTGTGCTGGAGAGGGGCACTCGCGGGGGAGGTGAGTGAGGAACGAGGGGGGGGGGGGGGGGGGGCGAAAGAGAAACAGGTGCCACACTGCGTGCGCCTGGGACTTCCTTCTGGTCCCGCTACCCCGGGTTTTTTTTTTTGGCCCCAGTCGCCCCGGCATCATGGCAATACATCTACCCATGTGTCTGTGTGTGCGTGTGCGTGCGCGCTACATCTTCAGCAGGACGGACATGCGCTTGGCCAGGCGGCGCAACATTTTCGGCTTGTCGCCAGAAGACAGATCGCCCGAGTCGTCGGATGATCCGGTGTCTAGGTCCGGATCAGGGGACAGCCCCGTCAGCGAGCCCCGGCGGCTGCTGTAGCGCCGCCCGGTTGGATCGCCGACACCGGTCAAGTCCAAGTCCGACCCGTCGAGCGACAGCCCCCCGGAAGCGTGGGTCCCCGCCGCCCCGGAAAGGAGGCTTTCACGCCGACGCCGGCGAAGGGTGTACTTGCTACCAACGGAAGCACCCTCCGAAAGGTGCGCCAGGGGATGCCCATCAGTTCGCGGAGTCGGGAGAATGGTCCCGAGACAGATGCAGCACTGGCCGCCGGCTGCTCTGGCAGCCGGGAGGCCGGCCATGGCGGCAGGCCCGGCCGACGGGTCGGCCGATCGCCGACGGAGGGTCAGCGAGCCGGTGCTGGCGCTGGCCCCCAGCAGCCGACCAGTCGCAGGGGGCAAATCATCCGGGCGGGTGGCCGGCGGCGGGCCGGGGGCTGGGCTGGCGGCGGCCGGGCCCCCACCACCCGCGCTGGCGGTGTTGTGCTGCTGATGATAGTTGAACAGCAGATCGGTCTGCAGGGGGATCGGCGTCGGGCACTGGCACGCCTGGTCTGAAAGGTCCTGCACGGACCAAGTGGAGGAGCGCCGGCTTTTGGGGCTCGGCTGGACACCCGCGCTCCAGGCCTTGCTGCTGGTGGCGGTGGCAGGGGCGGCGGTGGCGGCCGAGCGGTCGCCCGGCATGCCGGCCCCCCCGCCGCCAGCCGCTTGGCCGAGAGACTTCGACCGGAGAAGAGAGGGGCCGCCGCCGCCGCCGCCCGCTTCAGCGCCACCCCGGTGGAGAGCAGCACCATGGTCCTCGCCGGGAGGCCGGGTGGTCGGCGGCCGGGTGGCCGGCTTGGTCCCGATGCCCGGTGACCGGAGGCCGGCAGGCGGCGCCAGGATCAAGTCGTGTGAGGTTGAGCTCGAGGGGAGGGCCATCTCATCGGGCCCGGTCTCACCGATGAGCAGCGAATAGTGGCTGCCGCCGGCACCGCTGTGCTCGGTGGCGGTGGTGGCGGTGGAGTATGTACTCCGAGCATCGGAGTGCACGGCCGTCGGCGACATCGGCGACATGGCCACCGGAGTGGCGGTTGCCAGCAAATCCCCCGGGTCCGGCAAGGCGAACACCGTGCGCAGGGGATCGTACCCGGTCAGGGGAGCCGGCTCGACCCCAAAGAGTTCTTCATCCTGCAGAGACGCACAGCGCGTGGGCTGTGTCAGCACCAGCAAGCTCGGGGACGGGACAGCATCCTTGGCAGCCGGCTGGGTGCTTTGCAGCGGCGAGAGGGGCCCCGCCCGGGGGCGCCGATCAGCCGGCCGCTGGCGCGAGACATCCTCAATCGGGCTGTCAGCCGGGGTCTCATTCACCAGCTCCCCCAATCGCGAGGTCAGCAGAAAGGGGCCGGGCATCGACGCGGCGGCCGAGGCGCCCGACACGGCCGACACGGCGGTCACCGGCTCCGGCCGCATGCCCGGAGCACGAAGCTCCGAGGCGCTGGTGGTCAGCATGGCGCCACCGTGCGGCACCTGCGGCAACATGGGCGACGCCGGTGACGTCGGCGTCAGGCTGCCATCCGAGTCGATGTTCAAGCTCCCGGGACTCCCCTGGAGGAGGCCACTCCGGGCCAAATGCAGGGTGCGCTGGAACTGGCGAACCGCCGGGACCGGATCCACATCGGCGCCGGACCCCTCCAAAGGCAGGAGATCCGTAAAGAGGAGCGACGAATCGGACGTCAAGGTTAGCCCATCATCCGAAGCTGACAGAAAGCCGAAGGAGTCCTCCAGCGCCTCGCCGGAAGACGAGTGCCCCATGGTGCTGCCGGCTCGCGAGGGAGCTACCGGCAAAAGTCGCGGAGGGATGGCGGTAGGCACCAGCGTCGGGGGCACCGGCAGCACCAGGCCCTCCGGCTGCGCGGGGCCGTGGTCCTTTGAGGAGCCATCCCCCCCGGAGGGGGGGGGAGCCTGAGCCGGCCACATGCCGCCGGGGATGATGGTGGCCGCCATGTCGACCATCGGGTCATCTTCCGAGGGTGCCCCGGCGAAGCGCGTCACCCGGACGTCGACCTCGGGCTCATCGCGCAGGGCCGGAGGAGTGACCACACACCGGGGCCCGCCATATGCCGGGGTAGACACTCCCCCGAGCGGCGAGCCGCGAGGGTCGAACCCGGCCACCAGGGTTTCCGCCCGGGCCGCCTGGCGGTAATACAGGCTCAGGAGGGATGGCTGTAGCCCGGATGAATGGTCGAAGTCCACCTGCTGCCGGCAGAAAAAGAGCGAGCCTCGCCGACGGTCGGCCGGCGAAATGAACAGGCGCTGGTCCCCCTCGGTCGGGCGGTTGGCCAGCAGGTGATGCAGCTGCTCCGTGGACACGGGGGTCAGCTGGATGGCGGCAATGGCGGTGTCATCCTCGGGGTTGGGCTGGCCGAAGTGCTGCTGGGACTCATGCAGGTGGGGATGCCCCAGGTACTGGGCGTAATACCGGAGGCCGTTGTCCGAAGAGCCCACCAATGTCTCGGCTGACCCCTGGGGAAGCGGCCGGTGCAACCGGATGCCAGCGAGCGGGGCCCCGGCCGGGGTGGCCAGTGATCCCGGGCCCGCATCCATCGCGGGGATTGCGTCGGCCCGGGACGCGTGTCGGAGATCGTCCCCGTCGGATGGCCCCAGAGAAAGGCTGCTCCCGAAGTCCCGGGCTCCTGGAGGGCAGATGGTCAGCTGCGAGTCGGCGGGGTTGACTGACTGGTGAAGCAGTGTCCGCAGGGACTCCGATGGAACCAGGTGGATGCGGCTTCCGGTGGTGGTGGTGGTGGTGGTGGCGGTGGCGGTGGTTGACCCGGCGCCCGGGAGGGGGAGGGAGCCCTCCGATTGGGAGCGCCGGGGCCCGGCCGGGGCGGATGGCGGGGGCGGTGCCCCGGCCCGCCCGCCATTTCCGGTGGAGTGCGATCGCGGCCGCCTGGTCACCGGGTCCATGACCACCGAAAGCAAGGCCGACCGCGGGGACTGGGTGACGGCCAGCAGGGCCCGGTTGGAGCTGCTAACCGGAGCCAGACGCGGGGAATCGGTCGTCGACAGGGACACCATCTCGAGGGAGATGGCCGGGGTCTGGTCGGCCAGCGAGTCGCAGCTCGGCCGCCGAAGCCCGGGCGTCCCTGTCAGGCCGGCATGGAAGTGCAGGCTCGGATTGTCCAGGGTCTGAAAGACCGACACCAGGCGAAGCTGGGAGATGGGTGGCGGGAGGCCAGTCTGGTGGGGACGCGCTGCGAGTGGGGGCCCCGCATATGGGTGAGGGTGTCAGGAGGACGTGCCATCATCGAGCATCGGCGGCGAGCGAGGGAGGGAGGGGGGCCCTGGCGGGGGATCGAGGAGGAGAGAGGGCGGCCGTGGAGGGACGCACACAGGGGAGCCTGCTGGTAGCCAGGCGCGGAAATGCAGGCATCATCAGACATGGCTAGACATGCGGGTCGTGAAGATCACTTGCCGGGCCCGGAAACGACGTGGACAGAGGGAGGGCGCGCGCAGGGGCGCGCACGCACAGCCGATATGCGAGACACCGGCCGAGGGAGAGGGAAAAGGGGGACAGGCGCGAGGGGTGCGTGTGCGTGATGCCAGCCGGGGGCCGTGCCCGGCAGCGCAGGAAATCCGAGGGGCAAGCAAGAGGAGATGCAGGCGGGAGGAGGAGTGTGGCAGGCAGGGAGGACCGCGAGGGGTGGGGGATATGTGTACAAGGGGAAGGGGGACCGTGCGCACGCTCAGGCTCCCAGAGAAGGACGCCAGCAGGAGGTGGGGGTGGGGATGACCGGGCGTGGGAGAGGGGAGGCGGGGGAGAGGGGAGGCGGAGGAGGGAGGCGGGGGAGGGGGAGGGGGGGGGGAAGGGCAGGGGAAGGTATCTTGCCGGGAGTACTTGCCCAGTCCCGACGGGCGGCGCTGATCAGTCTGGCCCACCTTTCGAGGGCGTGGGCGTGAGAGATGTGCGGAGGGGGGAGGCACTCGCGGCCATCCCAGGGGGAGCGGGCGAATCCCGGCCCAAGCGAGAGACCCTGCCAAAGTGACAAAGGAACCGCCTCGACGAACAGTAGAAACCCATGCCGCGTGGATGGGGGGATGGCCGGCTTTCTTCCCGCCCCCCTGGGCATCCCCGGTTTGCCCTTTCGCTCCCTCTCTCTCTCTCTCTCTCTCTCTCAGGTGCATGTGTGCCTGTGTGTGTGGGCGGGGAGTGCATCTGTGCCCCCCGCGCGCGCGCGCGCGCGCGATGGATTACATCCCCCCAGCCCCCGCAGCTCCCTTGCCCACGGGTGGTCAAGAGGGGGGTCGGCCGATCGTGGGCGCCAACGAATTGGGCCCCGCCCTGGAGCGCCCCGAAGTGAGCGGGGGGTGGCAGCCGAGGGGGCAGATACAGCAGCAATAGTTGCCAGCCAGCCAGCCAGCCAGCCAGCCAGCCAGCCAGCCAGCCCGCCGGCCAGACCGGGCACCCGCCCCCTTCTCTGCACTTCGCTGCTGCTGCTGCTGCTGCTGCTGCCCCCCGTGGTGGGACTTTGTGCCAACACAACCGTACGACCAGCCGCAGCGGCTGATGCTCGAGTTGCTCCCCGCCCGACCCAGGTGGGCCCTGGAGCCAGACCCGGAGGTCGGTAGAGCGCCGGACCCCGTGGTCGCGAGGGGAGCAACTCGTGGGGCTCACAAAGGGCGAGGGAGAGAGGAAGGGCGCCGAGAAGAAGACGACCTGAAAGAAGCGGCGGCCGGGCCGGGGGAACCTGAACTTTGACAATCATGTCTAAGTCCGGGATGCCGGCCCCGCCGCCCCCTGTGGCGCGGGGCGGCGGGGGGGGGGGGGGGGGGCACAGCGAGATCCTCGGTGCCGGGCAGCGCACCCGTAGCCCTGACCCCCCACCCTCGCACATGCTGTATCAACCAACACCCCTGCCCAGCATGCGGCATGCACGCCTCCTGAGAGAGAGAGAGAGCCCCAAAGTCCCGGAGAGACCGAGGGAGAGACCCCGCCCCTGATACACACACGCACGCACGATCGGCCCCTCGGGGCGCGAATGCCCGTTGGACGCTGGCATGCACGGACGCCACGTTCCGTCGGAGCCGGCCGGCCCCGCCTCCCCAGGCCCCCGGCCCCCGGGCCTTGCGCCCTTTCCAGCTGACATTGGTGGAGGTGCACCTGTGGAGGCGTTCTCCGGCCCACACGCCTGGGGCAAAACGCGCCTGGCGTGCCTGCGCCCGCCCCCTCAAGCGGGTGTTCTTGGGCGCCTTCGGCCGAGCGTGTGCTCTGCCTCGAAAAGAGAAGCAGGGTCCCGTCTGGACAACCGCCCCCGCCCCGCCCCCCCCCCCCCCCCGCAGGCCCCCCCCCCCGCATCGGGGCCTGGCCTCGGCCCTGGCCGAGGAGACTGCCCCCCCCCCACCCCCCCACAGGGAGGCCCCAGGGCGCCGGGCCCGAGGCTGGCCCGGGCTGCTTTAAGCGGGACCTCGCGCCAGGCCCATGCCCTCCCACACCAGGAAGCGCCTCACGCCCCCTCTCTCGTCCCACGCTTCGCCTCCCGTTCCACGCCTCCGCCCCTCGTCGCTGCTCGCCTCTGCACGTCGCCGCCCCTCCTCGGCCCGGTCGTCCGCCCTTGCGCCTGTCCGCGCCCAATTAGCGCCCACACGCATCTCCTCCCCCCCCCCCCCACTCCCCCTCCTCGCTTCCTCGCTACCCCCGGCCGCTCGTCCCGCCGGCGCGCGCGCGCGCTCTCCCCCTCGCACGGCCCATCCCCGGTGCACGGCCATGACACTGCCATACTACACCCGGCCGTGGCCCCTGCTGGCGCACTTTGTGGCCTATGCCGCCTTCACATACTACGTCCTGCTGCAGCCGGTGCCGGACCAGCAGCCCAGCGGGGCCGGTCGCGGCGAGCGCATGCACCAGAACCGCACCTCGTTGGCGGTCGGGCCGTGCGTCGGCACGGTGGTCCCCCTGCCGCTGGCGGACCTGCTGGCCGAGCGCATCGCCCGGGAGATTCGCCTGCTGGCCGAGCCGCCGGCCGCCGGGGCCGCCCCCCCGAAGGACCCGCCGGCCGCCGGCGACATGTCCTGCTACCTGGTGGACGCCCGCAGCGACAGCGGTACGCCTGCCTGGCCCCCTTTGCCCGGGTCTGCCGCCGCTGGCTCACACCTTGCCTTGTCTTGCCCTGTCCCCCCCCCCTCCCCCTCCGCCGGCCTGTCGCTGGACGCATGGCAGTGCTGGTCATCTCGCCGGCCGACAACTGGCCGGACACCTGCGTGGGCATCGACCTCGCGCGCACCCTCGGCACCCAGTCGGCTCTGGATGCGCGGGCCGGCGCCGGCCTGCGCAAGGCCCCGGCCGCGGTACGCCGCCCTCCCCCTGCCCCCTGGAGCAACGCACACACACAGACACACACGCACAGACACACACACACAGACGCACACACACACACAGACACACACACACACAGACACACACACACACACAGACACACACACACACACACACACACACACACACACACACACACACACACACACACACACACA